TTTTAACACAGCGAAAGAAAAAGTCGCTGCATAGCAATGCTTTTAGCTTTCCGTTGACTTTTTCCGTCAGTTTTATCGATATATGACAAAAAAGAAGTGAACAAATAATTATGAAGCTTACAAGCCTGTGTGCTGGCAACACTCCAGTCAAAGGTGTGGTACGAGTAAACAGCTCGTTAATAATAAATCGGTGATAACCTTCCCAAGCACTTGCAATCAACAAATGAACCAATTTTCGATCGGTTGGAAAATAGTAGTTTTCCTACGAGTTTGAAAAGTCTCTGTTTGCGAACCGAGAGGTTTGCGGCCCGAGCCGAAGGCGAGGGACGTAACGAGGTTTGTAAAGGAGACTTTTCGAACGAGTTCCAGAAAACTGCTTTTTCGCCCGAGGAAGTACCAGCCTCCCAAAACCACCCGAGGGCGAAAAAGTAAGTTTATTTCGTTTTTTTTTTTATTCATACAGAAAGATTAAAACAAGAATCGTCAGTTGTTCGGATTTTTCGTAAAACCTGCGAGTTATTTTTTCCCCTACTGAATTCTCCATAGATCTTACTTTGCCTGTGGTGCTCGTTTCGTTCTCCGGAATGTCAAGAGCGCCCGCCAACTCTTCCCCGTCCAGTGTCAAATACCCACCCATTTCTTTAAATAAATAATCGAACATTGTCGTCAAGTTGAAATCGGTAGGTCAGAAAGACTGTTATAATAACACCCTGTGCACCGAGCGCCCGGTCATTGTGCAGCTCTGACTTTCGTTCTATTGTCAAACGCGCATCTGTCGCATCCATTCACGCGTCCACCTTTGTCACGAATCGCTCTGCCCCCCTCACCTTTTTCGATGCACTTTTCAATGCACCGGCAAACTTTTTCTTCCGATATATTTTTAACCCTGTACATTTATACACGACCATATTATGGAACACACATACAGAGACAGAGACAAGAGATGCAATTGTCGTATATAATGCCGCGAGCAACTTTTTTCCCTTCGATCAAACCCGGTGATCCTCTTAATTACGCATGATTATAATTTCGCACCAAAGTGAGCCCTAAAGTATAAAAATAAATCATATTATACACGGAGGAAGGGGGGATTGGTTCGATAATTGAGTTAACAGCTTGCGTGCGGTTGGAAACCTTGCGCGGGTATAAGAAGATCCGCGGCTCGCTTGGTTGGACTGATGAAATTTTCGGATAAGCGCCCGAGCGTGTGTACCGTAAACGGCACGGATAAAGAAAATGGGGAAAATCGCCAACGGCGCTCCCTGGCAGCGAGATTTCAGATTTTTTCGCTGTATGTTGTACTTGGCTGGAAAATCGGAGGTGGAACGAGCGCGTTGACTTTTGCGTATATGGCAAGTGTCTTGCGTGTGGATCGAGAGACAGAGAAAGTAACACAAGTTGGTTAATAACCGATGTTGTACCTTATATATATACGTGGGCTGGGGAAAAATCGAGTAAGCACACGGTAAAACGATATTACGGGTATGCGGTGTACAGAACATACTCGTGCGCGAGAGCCCGTAGAGTGAAATTATTATTGCGTTGTTGGGTATTAAGTATTACGGTAAAGAAAATTTTTCTTTTCCTTTCGATCGCGAGAGTATACGTGTCACGTTGGTCTTTCTTATTAGGCATTTTTTTTTTTTTTTTTTCTACGTAATAGCAAAAACTGTAACTGCACATGAGCAGTGTATGTATTGGGCGTGAAAAATAAATCGGTATGTGTAGTTCAAATTAATCATGGTGTACATACATTCGTAAACAAGTACATTGATTATCCTAAAAAGATTGGTGTTGCAAATCGATCTGAAATTTGGTGGGTTGCTTTGTTTTCGTGCACCACAGTCTCATGGTTTCAAAATTTATCACAATTAAGAATTATAAAAATTTTTGCATGATCAACTGATGTTACTTCGTCATGCAAGTATTGTTAACCGCAGTTTACACGCTAGTTTTTACTGTCCCGATCAGTTATTTTTTGTTGCAAACATAGCCATTTACTCTATTTTCACGGTACCTCGCGTTTATTGTGTCTAAAACAGTGAAAATAAGGTTGGAAAAAGTAAAAAGTACCAGGATATCATCGAATTACAACAGGTGATAAAGTATGTATAAGTATATGCACAGTTATGTGCATAATTTTTTTTTTTCTTGATGTAATTTCTAAAGTGGACGTCTTTATACGCCTGTACAGTGAACGGGAAAATCATAGATCTTAACGAGAAACTGGATTTTTTTAAATTACTTTTATTTATTTTTACAAATTTCTTTATGCTAATGAAATTCAACAATACAAATCATTTTTTCTCTGGCAGCTCTAAAATTTTCTAAATGATCCTTCACATTAGGTACAATACACAGCGCGTAAATATTACTTTGCACACAATATTAGAATCAAGCACTATTGTTGATAGTCTACAAATAAGTGTTTATGAAAACTATAGTAACAATTTTAGACACTTGTATTCGAACATTGATGCACAAAAACTAACTGAAAATTGAAATTTTAGTCAAAAAATAGCGTACGTAACTCACACACAAAATGGTTATTAACTATTGCGTTTGAAAGTATTGGAAAACGACGGCAACACAGCACTAGTATTTAGCGAATTTTCCATGTAAGTCAGCTAGTGTCAGGTTCAATCAGCTTATAAAGTGACACTTTGCAAACACATTTAGCACTTGTGGGCTTGGGAATGGGGCTTCTCTCCCGTATGAGTTTTTTTGTGTGCCTTAAGATCTGATTTTTTAGTAAAACTCATCGAACACACTTGGCAGGCGTGGAGCTTCTCACCCGTGTGAGTCATCTCGTGCCTCGTAAGATCTGATTTTTTAGTAAAACTCATCGAACACACTTGGCAGGCGTGGGGCTTCTCACCCGTGTGAGTCATCTCGTGCCTCGTAAGATCTGATTTTTTAATGAAACTCATCGAACACACTTGGCAGGTGTGGGGCCTCTCACCCGTGTGAGTCATCTCGTGCCTCGTAAGATCTGATTTTTTAACGAAACTCATCGAACACACTTGGCAGGTGTGAGGCCTCTCACCCGTGTGAGTCATCTCGTGCCTCGTAAGATCTGATTTTTTAATGAAACTCATCGAACACACTTGGCAGGTGTGGGGCCTCTCACCCGTGTGAGTCATCTCGTGCCTCGTAAGATCTGATTTTTTAATGAAACTCATCGAACACACTTGGCAGGTGTGAGGCCTCTCACCCGTGTGAGTCATCTCGTGCCTCGTAAGATCTGATTTTTTAATGAAACTCATCGAACACACTTGGCAGGTGTGGGGCCTCTCACCCGTGTGAGTCATCTCGTGCCTCGTAAGATCTGATTTTTTAACGAAACTCATCGAACACACTTGGCAGGTGTGAGGCCTCTCACCCGTGTGAGTCATCTCGTGCCTCGTAAGATCTGATTTTTTAATGAAACTCATCGAACACACTTGGCAGGTGTGGGGCCTCTCACCCGTGTGAGTCATCTCGTGCCTCGTAAGATCTGATTTTTTAATGAAACTCATCGAACACACTTGGCAGGTGTGAGGCCTCTCACCCGTGTGAGTCATCTCGTGCCTCGTAAGATCTGATTTTTTAATGAAACTCATCGAACACACTTGGCAGGTGTGGGGCCTCTCACCCGTGTGAGTCATCTCGTGCCTCGTAAGATCTGATTTTTTAACGAAACTCATCGAACACACTTGGCAGGTGTGAGGCCTCTCACCCGTGTGAGTCATCTCGTGCCTCGTAAGATCTGATTTTTTAATGAAACTCATCGAACACACTTGGCAGGTGTGGGGCCTCTCACCCGTGTGAGTCATCTCGTGCCTCGTAAGATCTGATTTTTTAATGAAACTCATCGAACACACTTGGCAGGTGTGAGGCCTCTCACCCGTGTGAGTCATCTCGTGCCTCGTAAGATCTGATTTTTTAATGAAACTCATCGAACACACTTGGCAGGTGTGGGGCCTCTCACCCGTGTGAGTCATCTCGTGCCTCGTAAGATCTGATTTTTTAACGAAACTCATCGAACACACTTGGCAGGTGTGAGGCCTCTCACCCGTGTGAGTCATCTCGTGCCTCGTAAGATCTGATTTTTTAATGAAACTCATCGAACACACTTGGCAGGTGTGGGGCCTCTCACCCGTGTGAGTCATCTCGTGCCTCGTAAGATCTGATTTTTTAATGAAACTCATCGAACACACTTGGCAGGTGTGAGGCCTCTCACCCGTGTGAGTCATCTCGTGCCTCGTAAGATCTGATTTTTTAATGAAACTCATCGAACACACTTGGCAGGTGTGGGGCCTCTCACCCGTGTGAGTCATCTCGTGCCTCGTAAGATCTGATTTTTTAACGAAACTCATCGAACACACTTGGCAGGTGTGAGGCCTCTCACCCGTGTGAGTCATCTCGTGCCTCGTAAGATCTGATTTTTTAATGAAACTCATCGAACACACTTGGCAGGTGTGGGGCCTCTCACCCGTGTGAGTCATCTCGTGCCTCGTAAGATCTGATTTTTTAATGAAACTCATCGAACACACTTGGCAGGTGTGAGGCCTCTCACCCGTGTGAGTCATCTCGTGCCTCGTAAGATCTGATTTTTTAATGAAACTCATCGAACACACTTGGCAGGTGTGGGGCCTCTCACCCGTGTGAGTCATCTCGTGCCTCGTAAGATCTGATTTTTTAACGAAACTCATCGAACACACTTGGCAGGTGTGAGGCCTCTCACCCGTGTGAGTCATCTCGTGCCTCGTAAGATCTGATTTTTTAATGAAACTCATCGAACACACTTGGCAGGTGTGGGGCCTCTCACCCGTGTGAGTCATCTCGTGCCTCGTAAGATCTGATTTTTTAATGAAACTCATCGAACACACTTGGCAGGTGTGAGGCCTCTCACCCGTGTGAGTCATCTCGTGCCTCGTAAGATCTGATTTTTTAATGAAACTCATCGAACACACTTGGCAGGTGTGGGGCCTCTCACCCGTGTGAGTCATCTCGTGCCTCGTAAGATCTGATTTTTTAACGAAACTCATCGAACACACTTGGCAGGTGTGAGGCCTCTCACCCGTGTGAGTCATCTCGTGCCTCGTAAGATCTGATTTTTTAATGAAACTCATCGAACACACTTGGCAGGTGTGGGGCCTCTCACCCGTGTGAGTCATCTCGTGCCTCGTAAGATCTGATTTTTTAATGAAACTCATCGAACACACTTGGCAGGTGTGAGGCCTCTCACCCGTGTGAGTCATCTCGTGCCTCGTAAGATCTGATTTTTTAATGAAACTCATCGAACACACTTGGCAGGTGTGGGGCCTCTCACCCGTGTGAGTCATCTCGTGCCTCGTAAGATCTGATTTTTTAACGAAACTCATCGAACACACTTGGCAGGTGTGAGGCCTCTCACCCGTGTGAGTCATCTCGTGCCTCGTAAGATCTGATTTTTTAATGAAACTCATCGAACACACTTGGCAGGTGTGGGGCCTCTCACCCGTGTGAGTCATCTCGTGCCTCGTAAGATCTGATTTTTTAATGAAACTCATCGAACACACTTGGCAGGTGTGAGGCCTCTCACCCGTGTGAGTCATCTCGTGCCTCGTAAGATCTGATTTTTTAATGAAACTCATCGAACACACTTGGCAGGTGTGGGGCCTCTCACCCGTGTGAGTCATCTCGTGCCTCGTAAGATCTGATTTTTTAACGAAACTCATCGAACACACTTGGCAGGTGTGAGGCCTCTCACCCGTGTGAGTCATCTCGTGCCTCGTAAGATCTGATTTTTTAATGAAACTCATCGAACACACTTGGCAGGTGTGGGGCCTCTCACCCGTGTGAGTCATCTCGTGCCTCGTAAGATCTGATTTTTTAATGAAACTCATCGAACACACTTGGCAGGTGTGGGGCCTCTCACCCGTGTGAGTCATCTCGTGCCTCGTAAGATCTGATTTTTTAATGAAACTCATCGAACACACTTGGCAGGTGTGGGGCCTCTCACCCGTGTGAGTCATCTCGTGCCTCGTAAGATCTGATTTTTTAATGAAACTCATCGAACACACTTGGCAGGTGTGTGGCCTCTCACCCGTGTGAGTCATCTCGTGCCTCGTAAGATCTGATTTTTTAATGAAACTCATCGAACACACTTGGCAGGTGTGTGGCCTCTCACCCGTGTGAGTCATCTCGTGCCTCGTAAGATCTGATTTTTTAATGAAACTCATCGAACACACTTGGCACACATGGGGCTTCTCCCGCGTGTGAGTCTTCTCGTGCCTAATAAGATTGGATTTATCAACAAAACTCATCGAACAAACTTGACAGGTGTGGGGCCTCTCACCCGTGTGAGTTTTCTCATGTGTCCTAAGATGATACTTCTGATAAAATCTTTTAGAGCACACTTGGCAGGCGTAGGGTTTATAACTAGTGTGAGTCATCACGTGCCTTGTAAGATCTGATTTTTTAATGAAACTTATCGAACACTCTTGGCAGGTGTGGGGCTTCTCACCCGTGTGAGACATCTCGTGCCTCGTAAGATCTGATTTTTTAACGAAACTCATCGAACATACTTGGCAGACGTGAGGCCTCTCATCCGTGTGCGTTTTCTCGTGTGTCCTAAGATTAAACTTCTTAGCAAATCTTTTAGAGCACACTTGGCCGGCGTGGGGCCCCTCATCCGTGTGAGTCATCTCGTGCCTCGTAAGATCGGATTTTTGAACGAAACTCATCGAACATACTTGGCAGGTGTGGGGCTTTTCACCCGTGTGAGACATCTCGTGCCTCGTGAGATCTGATTTTTTAATGAAACTCATCGAACACACTTGGCAGACGTGAGGCCTCTCACCCGTGTGAGTCATCTCGTGCCTCGTAAGATCTGATTTTTTAATGAAACTCATCGAACACACTTGGCAGACGTGAGGCCTCTCACCCGTGTGAGTCTTCTCGTGCCTCGTAAGATCTGATTTTTTAATGAAACTCATCGAACACACTTGGCAGACGTGAGGCCTCTCACCCGTGTGAGTCATCTCGTGCCTCGTAAGATCTGATTTTTTAATGAAACTCATCGAACACACTTGGCACACGTGGGGCTTCTCCCCCGTGTGAGTCTTCTCGTGCCTAATAAGATTGGATTTATCAACAAAACTCATCGAACATACTTGGCAGGTGTGAGGCCTCTCACCCGTGTGAGTCATCTCGTGCCTCGTGAGATCTGATTTTTTAATGAAACTCATCGAACACACTTGGCAGACGTGAGGCCTCTCACTCGTGTGAGTCATCTCGTGCCTCGTAAGATCTGATTTTTTAATGAAACTCATCGAACACACTTGGCACACGTGGGGCTTCTCCCCCGTGTGAGTCTTCTCGTGCCTAATAAGATTGGATTTATCAACAAAACTCATCGAACATACTTGGCAGGTGTGAGGCCTCTCACCCGTGTGAGTCATCTCGTGCCTCGTGAGATCTGATTTTTTAATGAAACTCATCGAACACACTTGGCAGACGTGAGGCCTCTCACTCGTGTGAGTCATCTCGTGCCTCGTAAGATCTGATTTTTTAATGAAACTCATCGAACACACTTGGCACACGTGGGGCTTCTCCCCCGTGTGAGTCTTCTCGTGCCTAATAAGATTGGATTTATCAACAAAACTCATCGAACATACTTGGCAGGTGTGAGGCCTCTCACCCGTGTGAGTCATCTCGTGCCTCGTGAGATCTGATTTTTTAATGAAACTCATCGAACACACTTGGCAGACGTGAGGCCTCTCACTCGTGTGAGTCATCTCGTGCCTCGTAAGATCTGATTTTTTAACGGAAGTCATCGAACCCACTTTGCAGGCGTGGGGCTACAAAATTGTAAACTGCCTCCTTCTGCCATATTTGTGAATGACATACTACAGAAATTGACATGGCTACGATTTAATCCACTTAGTAGTAACTTTTTTGTTGTTATGCCTGACGGTTTTTTTTGAGATAAAGTGTATCTGCTCCAGTTTGATGAGATGAGACGGTTGTTAGTATGTTATCTGTTTGACATAAAGTAAAAGCAATTTTTACTATTTCTTTCGTGATTTTCTTACGTGACTAAACGCTAATTGTGTTTCAGAATGGTACTATTGCATGATCTATTATAGTATAGTTTAAAAAAAAAGTAAATTGGGTACAAATGAAATAGCACATTCATTTATTATTCGAAGAGTTGGATCGAATAATGTCGTTATCGTTGCCTCTAAATCTATTATCTAGTAAAATCCAATATGGATTTGCGTATGTTCATGCAGCTTTCATCTGCATGCATATGGCGTTTTGGAAAATCCATACGAATTGTTTTGACAGAGTGTCAAAGTTTTCGTATTGTAGATTAGGAAAAACATAAGTTAAGTCATTAATGATCATTGACCGCATAGATCTAGAAAAAACTGAAAGTTTTATGATACAATTCGTATGAAAGTTCTAGTGAACGCGGGAAAACTACTTATTGCAGATAGGCATGATGATTTAAAAGGTAAAAGAATTTTTTAATAGATAAAAAATTGAAAAATGTAATTATCTGATTTGAATTTTGACGGGATGAATGTATAAAAATACGATTTTTGTCCATTATCAAGACTAAAACTCACCTGTAGTTTCGAGACTTCTGATCGTGAGGTTGAATTGGTGATTTTTTCAATCGTCTGTTGAGGTACATTTTTCCGTAAGGCTAATTGTGTCAAACTTTTATAAAGACTCTTTGTTGAATAATAGGTGTTTTCTTTTTTTATGATATTTAAGTTAGACAAACACACACATTTATCGGAGTAAATAATTTAAGTATTATATTTATAAAACTTTGACGTTTTTTTCACACAGTATTCTTCAGTTTCTTTTACCGAAGGCAAATAAAGAACTGAAGTCGACACGGTTAAATAGTTACTGGCGTTATAAACTGTTAATGCATTTGAACATGGAATAGAATATTTAAAAAATGAAAGAGATATAATAGCTAATGACCTATTAATTATCTTTTCCTGCTCTGATAATGTGAAAAATATATTGTATCCGGTTCAACTATCTATAGCTACGAATTTCTTTAATACAAATGATGTAAATTTGTATTTTCCAGTAACATGAGAGTTCCACGGGGCGCATCCGGGGTTGATAAGCCAAACCAAATTATTGTTGCTAAATAACCTGGGCCACTTATCATCACTGATAAGTTTACCTAACTTTTTTTTTTTTTTACTTTTTTTTTTAACGATCTAAAAACATACACGTATGTTTGATACAATAATTATCATAAATGTGTTTTAAGGAAAGTATCTTGCAATTATACAGCGATTCAACCATATACAACGGAATCCAAATACTGTACTTGAAAAATTGGTTCAAAATAGAAATAAATAACAAAAAAAATTTCCGTCTCTAATGTTAGCATTTTTATTTTTGTGAGCTGGATTTAATACGTGTAAGTGCCTTGTTTTAAGATATTTAAAAATTATTTTTCCTATAAAATAAGCATAGTCCGAGCTATGTTTTCCTAGACACAGCTATGTTTTCAATCGTAAGGTTTCCAACCCAGAAAATTTGGTTAAAAAAAAAAAAAAAAAAAAATGGACAAGGTTTCACACCGAAAAGCTTTAAAAATATTCCATTTCTTTACATACCTACATGGAACGATTCAAGCTGAACTCTCAAATTCCCAAGTAACGCGAAAACAATGGATGCGCAGTCTGAAAATGCAGGTTATACGGTTGACTGTACACATTCACACCAATGTACACGTGTGCATATTCCAAGTAAGTAAGTAAGCGGATTGAGCATCGATGAACAGGTATGTATATCTGTCGATGTGTTCCATTTGTCGGGCGCATCAATCTAATGACCGACCGTACGGTAAAAGTAACAGGTATCTGTCCAACGGCGTTTTTCCATACCGTGTAAAACACGCCAATGACATCAGCACCACTGTATATGTATTATACGCGCATACATGTACCCATCGCAAGGTTTTGCGTATCTCTACACACACACATACATAATATATATGCAGATTTTGCTGAGCTACTTTATTTATCGAGAGCATTGAAGCGTCACGCCAAGTGGCAATATTGGATTTCCTAATTGGATGGGACACGGCCGGAGGAGGAGGAGATCGCGGCGGCCCTCCGCGCTTATCGGCACGCAAGCACCTACCCAAGTGCAAATATACACCCCATCTAACGCGACGGAGCGCCCATCGCGTGCGACCTCACTTTCCGCTCGAGCGTTAATAGGCGTATATGAACCAAGAGGGGACAATGTTAATTGTCCTGCTTTTCACTTTTTTGCTTCTCCAAGACCCGATGCAAGGGGAGACTTTTTGAGTTTTCTCTGACCCGATTTCACGAGATTGCTGGCCTCGCTTCGAAAGCAAACACCGCAATACTTAGTTCCTCGTTTTCTAGCAAACATATATTTTTTTTCTTCTAAATGTAACGTCGAATCGCTCATCGAGATGTTAGTTCTTAGGGTTCGTCCAAAATACATACGACACGACAGTTTGCACAAGGTGATGTTCTTTCCTTGACGATTAGAAACATCAAGTATTATCGCAGGGACGTTCTCGTCGTCGTCGCAAACGTAAATAATACAATAGGCGCGCGTTGGATCTGTCAAAATGTTTAAACGTCCCTCGATTGCTTTTGCCAAGAGCTAATCTGCAGGGTGAGTACACGTACATGGCCCAGTCCGTAAAATGTGGTGTGTATTTTGAAAGGAAAAGCCGCTTATCTCGTGATGGGTTGTGTCCCGAGGGGCCGGACGATAAGGGCCTAAAAAGGCCACGTCTCCTCTCTCGTCCCCTCGTACGGATAAGACATCAAATCTATATCCTTGCAGTCACGGGTAAGTATATTTTATCCGTATCAAGAGGAGATATGGCCTTTTTATATTTTTCTCGCTCCGCTTTCCTGCACGATGGGCCTCTTGTACATATAGACCGGGGGACCCCCCCCCCCTATGTGTATATACATGCATCGGCAACAGCCACCACCGTCGCCGACGCCACACACCTGGTTGTGGCTGGGTGTGCTCTTGAAAGGAAGCGCGCGGCAGCTGTCACCGACGCGCGTGCCGAGCAGCTGCCTCCCTCTCTCTCGTGCGCGCGTGTTCTATACGTATATGTAGGTATTGTATATCCAAGCGTCATTATCCGCAGGATAGGATAAATCGATCCTTGTCCGGAGGGCCCCTGCATGTATCCTCGGCGCGCGACCGATTTTCAAGAGTATGGTCCGATGTAGAGGCGTATCCTCCTCCCCTCCTGCATACGAGTACGACTCCTTCGAATTCCGGGGATCCCTTGTGTAGTGCGTCCTCCGTTGCACGTGCAACGAGGGAAGATAAATCTCTCCTCCTTGGCGAGTGCGCCCCTAAAAACGCCTACTGTGTATACATACGCATGCTCTCTCGAGGTGCCGAAAGTGCCGTTGCCGAGGGAATCCAGCTACTGTCGCGTTATTTGAGAACATTCGAGGTCCTTAAGAGTGTGGTGGCTGAGGATTTTTTTTTTTTTTTTTTTTTTTCCACCATATCGGCGCGCGGTGAGTTTGTCCAGAAACCAGAAAGTTGTGTACAGTTGACGGGAATAAATAGACAACTGTAGCACTCGAATGCTTTATCTGTAAAACAAAAAATCATCTGGTACACGAAGCATCCAATGAAAGCGAAAGATGCTGAATGTCACAAAATAAAAATGAAAAAAAAAAAGTTACAAAGTAAAATGATGATTATTTTTCCTATGAAAGCAGCGGCCGTTGGAGGATGGCGATCCGTTCCCACAATTAAAATTGCAACGAGGTCGAACGTATAATCATCTAATGGGCGACAAGTTGATTTCTTCGACGAGTGAAGATAGCGCGGTGCAAAAAAGGACGCACAGGCCGTGTGCAACGCGCACGTTATAGAGAACATAGAGAAACGCTCATAAATTTCAAAACCACTTGGCAATTATCGGCTCTGAAGTAACGATCCTGCAGCTTGTGTTAAGTGTATATTAGGTATATATACATTGCGCAAGTGCAAGTAGCCTGTCTTATGGATGCAAAAACCGAGGCTCCCGGTCAAAGTCCCCTCGTGGCAAAAAGCAAACGCACGAAGGAGTTAGCTCTCCTTCCATCATCTCGTCGAATGAGCCATCCAGTTTTTTTTTCTTCTTCTTTTTTTTTCTTTCAAGTATATGTATACACGGTCGCACGTGTCGTCCAGACGCTCGATGATGCACTCTCATTCCTGCTGGGCTCGCGATTCTCTCGGCAAATGTTCTCACGGATCGAGAAAATGCCTATTAATGTATATGCGCAGCGCAGTGTGCCGTTTTTTTTTTTTTTTTTTTTTTTTTTCTCCTGATGTAGCTATACAGTCGGAGGTGCAAACTTGCAGTTACAAATACTTATTTGTATTATTTTTATTTATTTGTTTATTTTATTTATTTATTTTTTTTTTTTCGCTGCCATAGATGTGGAGGAAGGAGGGAATTGAAAAAAAAAGCTCTCGCGTCGCAGCATCCGTATACTTTCGATGCACGATCTGTTATGCAACACATTTCTCCCAACCGATAATCAAAAGAGCTGTGCATAAAGGGGAGGGGGAGTGAAAAAAATGAACAGCAACAAAGACCGATCTTAATCTTTGGGTCGAAAGTGTGTGAACCATTCACGCGTGAGCGCGTATACATCCCTTTGACACTGTTGGATTAGAGGACGACGAATATATGTATATAATATTGATACAAAGGGAAAAGCCATACCTATACGGTTAACGCGTCCAAAGTGTGCGTCAGAAGGAAAGAATGAAAAACGTGACCGAGCACCTACTTACATACACACACACGTTCATCCATAGATAAGGTTTCCGTCCATTCCACCCTCATATAGCGCGGCGCGTAACGGTCCTTTGCTTCAATCACCCGCATTGAAAAAAAAAAAAAAAAATGAAATTTAAACACAACAGCGTACCTACGAGAGAAAAAAAGAAAGAAAGAAAGACAGTCGATGCAAGCGGATGCCCCGTATATACTAGACTTAATGGTCCAGTACAACCGAATCAGTCTGATGCTCGTGCATATAATATAGTGTGCCACATGCACTTATACGTACCTTATACCGCCTGCGTACACATGGAAAGTTGAAAACCGAGCCGAGCGTGAACGAGGGCGGATGGACGCGTGCTCTCCCTTTTTTTCTTCTCCCCCTCCCCCTTGGCCGCTGCTCGAGGATGTTGCCCTCACTCGGAAGGGATGATGGGTTTTCGGAGGAAACGATGCGCGTAGGGATTTAATACGTTTTTTTTTTTTTTTTTTTGGTACGGGTCCGTGTGGGTCTCTCTTTTGGGCTCGAATGTAGGGTTTCTCGAGCAATGATTATTCTTACGGCGGTACTCTCTCTCTCTCTCTCTCTCTCTCTCTCTCTGTGTATTCATTGTATTCCGTCGTGACAAAGAAATTTCAACTGCACAAAAAAATCTAAGACAGGATTTGTCATGGAAAAAAACAATGTAAGCGATCTATATAGCGACGATATCACCCAATGACGATTAAATCGCAAAGTTTATCATAACCGGTGATGGAAAAGAAAGAATGAAAGAAAAGAAAGAAAAGAAAACATACCCTGATACCATGCCGATTTTCATCACTAGCCTCCGGCACCTTATTTTTTTCCTCGTGTTTGACATGCTGTTGTTGTTGCCGATGGCTGTGGTGTCCTGCGATTTCGGCGTCAAGGCTATTCTTGTTCCTCCCCTGCATGAAGCACCCGGCGCAAGCGCTCGCCAGCATCTTTTTTTTTTTTTTTTTTTTTTTCATACGCTACTTATTTGAGCTCTGTGAACTGTGAAGTATTATGTTATTATAATACGCACACCTTCTGTTTCTTCTTCTGTATACTATTTTTTTTTGTTTGTTTTTTTTTTTTTCGCAAAACTCAACAATACCCCTCTCTACTTATACAACGTGAGTTTGTCCGTCTCTCCTCTACGGGCAACAATACATATATACATATATATATATATATTGTATATTCATGCCACTATAGACTCTCTTTTTTTCTTTTTCTTTCTTTTTCCCCTCATCCGTGTCTACACCATTATAATATGTACACGGTGTACGTACTATTTTGTGGAATCCCTCCGACGATGCGTTCTATTGCCAGACGGTGGTGGTCATCAGCTGCCGCCGCTCGCCTGGAGGGCCTACGTATATATACATAATATATCTCATTTGTACGTGTGTTGGTGTATAGGTATATAGGTGTAAGGACTGTAAGGTACGTGTATATATTATTATGGCACGCGCCGGCACACAAAATTGAACTTCCTGCCACGGCGCGCCGGCACGCGTGCATCTGCCCCTTATGGTCTACACTAAGTATGGGTAGGCATACACCCATCAACAATAATAGGAATGCACAAATTACCTTATAGGTATACAATACACTTGCGAGTGCAATGTGTAGGCATATATGGATAATAACAGCTTAACGATTAGCCCGTATACGTGTACATTAGGTGATGCAGATCTTGATGGTACCGTGACTTTGCAGGCACATAATATAATATGTACCGTATACTCGCGCGCCTTATCGTTATGTTTGTACGCATATAGGAACCTACTTGTTGAATGTATTTGTATGAAAAAAAGCGGGAAAAAAAAAAAAAAATTTCATAAGATTTTTTTTGCCAATATCAATATTGTCGACTCACTCGAGAGTTCTTCAAAATTGACCAAATTTTTCCCTACAGACTCACAAAAGCGCATCTCGGTAACTTTCCCCGCACATTTTCACGATTAGCTAAACTCGCGGCATACTTAATAATATTAATAGACAAAGATTCTTTTTTTTTTTTTTTTTTCTCAATTTCTCAAATAAACACTAGAAACGCCGACGTACATATTTATAAATACATCAGTCGAGCATGTGTACTACGTGCGCGCACGAAACAATATATATACATACACGGGAGAAGAGAGTTTTGATACCCACATGTATGAGCTAAAACGCGCTTAATTAGAGAGCCCCTTGGCGTATGCATATATATATATATATGGTGCGGAGAGCAGAGTACTTACGGGATAATGAATATTTCATACGTACATGTACGGTGTGCACGAGGCATTAACCCCCGGCTGGCGTCGCCACCGACTTGTGTGTGCGTGTGTTGTATGGCCTGTGCGGGTGCATAAATATATACATGTATATGTGCATGTATCCCCCGACACTGCGGGGGATTCGAGAGAGCGGAACAGGCTAGGAATTGTTATTCACGGTAATATGGGGTGTGCAGTGCACCGCGACGTTTTATTTATTTTTCTCTCCTCGTCCATTTTTTTTTTTTTTTTTTCTTTTTTTTACTCTTGTATTCGTTTGCATAAGAGTTTCAAAAGTTGAGGATTAGATTTTTCATCCTAGTAAGTATGGAAACCAAAGTTTTTCGAGCCGAAAACAAGAAATCAAAAGGTGCAAGGTATTCCGTTCATCGCCGTTTGCTTACATTTCACGGATTTAATTGAATGGGTACATATTGTAGATTTACGGAAAAACGGAAGCAGCTGTCGACTATAACAGTGATTGAACTTTTATAGGTACAATATAGTTTTTCTCGCATACGATACATTAGTTATAGTTAAATAATTTGATTTTTACCAAATTTATTGATTAACGTTATAGAAAAACAATTTGTTACCTTACAATAATAAAAACAATAAAAAACTACAAACAATAATCTTGAGACAAAAATATTCCATCACTAATGAGCAGTTGAATCGAGCATCTCAAGATTATATTATGTACCCAAAGAAGAAAACACTGCGACAACGGCGGAAGAAGGATACGATAAAAGAGGGAAAAAAAGTATCGGCGATATAGTGAGAGTAGGGGTAAACGGTACAGTTATTGACACCTTAAGGTAGTGATTGACCCCTGTATAATTTGTATACCTATATATAAAGGCTCCATTTATCAAGGCTTCATTTACCGGTCAATCACTATCGGGGGGTCAACAACTGTACCGTTTACCCCTACGTTGAAAACAATTGCGCGAATGTCAGTCAAGTAATGTATATATACGTATGCGTATACGAGGAGCTCGTTAATATACAAACGCAGAGTTTGCGATTTCCGGTGCAAATAAACCTCCTCCCCCCTTTCAATGTTAATTCTCCTATACCTCGGTCACGTGCGTGTATACCTATACACACATGGGGAGGGAGAGTCGTTTTGATGAAAATTAAGATCCGGTCAGTAAACGGATGGTACACATATACGTACGAGTAGAAGAAAAGGGAGCTAGTGCGCTTTTCACGGCTTACGCTTCTGTGAGCTTTGCATTGCACAATACCTACATGTATATGTACCTTATATGTACAGTGGCTCGTGGCAATATAACGTTTCAGCGGTGATAATGTGCCTTTGCTCGCTGTTTATCTGCATAACTTGCGCCTCTCTCGGGGCCTTGAGCTAATCGAATATGGATTTTGCGTTTTACGCGCTGCACATTTGCCGTATGTACAAGAATACGCGCTCTCTCGTCTGCAGTGTGTTTTCAACGATCGCGGTAATGTTTTCTACTCCGCCAGAATAAGGCGATGACTATTTTGCTCTGATTCTTACATTGCTTTGAAGCGTGAAATTTTAGTCATTTGACTTTTTTTTCTTCTAAATCTAATGTAAATGTGTTACAAAAAAAAAAAGATGACGTTGAAAATGATCGGTATGTTTTTTTCGCTCCTTCGTTCAAAACTATATGATGTTTTTGGTATATGTAGAGGGACTTGTCTATAATCATACACGTGTGCAACAACCACCGCGTTTTCGCCAACAAAAAAACTCACTGTCAAAGTGTAACAAAACTTTAATGAACCTCTCGACCCGTGCACGATAACGCACTCGAATAACAATTCACGAGTAGGTATAATGCATAGCAAATCACACTTGTAGAGACGCGAGAAGCATAAACCCGCGATATTCTCGCGAAAACGACGGCAACGGCGCGCTCGCGCTAAGCAACTGATGAGGATCGGCAATCGAGAGCCCCGAGCGTCTATAAATATACACACACGCTCGCGCGCGATGCATGTGCACAAATATATAGCGTGCCTCCCTCCTGTCGCCTGTGCACATATATTGCACACACACACACACGCCGTGTATACATAATGTGTACATTTTACGCGTGTATACTTACATCTCCGTTTATGCTTCCATAACCGGTATATCTTTCTCTCGCGCGCGCGTCCAACCTGTAACCCAAGGATGTACGCCTATATGGATAGGCACGAGAAAGATCGGTACGTGCACCGAGAACCGGTCACATGGACCAATATACGTCACCCAGTTTTATACACGTGTATTCTAGTATGATCGGTTTTTCCGTATATCCATGCACCCCTGTACAGCGTAAGTCCCTCGATCGGTTGCAGCAAACAAGTTTCGTTGAATCGTGTGGTTTTTTTTTTAATTGTCGAGAAGTACCACCTGTACACTGCACTTCGATGAGCAACAGTGATTTAGCTGTCGACGAGGAAGCTAGTGACGGTATGTGTTGGTACGTGGAAAACGATTTCCAACTCGCCCGCGAAGTACTAATGAGAGAGAGGTTTATCGTTGTCCCCCTGAAAACGCGTTGTCGTTGATCTTCCACGCATGGTCGTAAGTTACGGGTGACAGGTAATCCACGCATTTCTGTATCGCATACCTGCGGATGAAAAAAAGATTTTGAATTTGAATAATTTCACCAGATTTGCCAGCAGAACAACTACAGCGGGCAACAACACGATGAAGTTTAAAGAAAATCCGGACTGGCCCTGGACTCTCTCGCGTTATAGTGAAAGTTCATCTCTCGTGTACATAATAAGGAGGCATTGCTGCATCTTTGTATGTGCATACTAGCATCTGTAGCACACATGTATATATATATATAAATTGAGATGGAGGCTAATCCTTGCACGCGAATCTTATATACATATTTGATTTCCCTATACCGGGCTCGTGCGCGTGTAGCCAACCCGAGCAAGTCTTGGTGATGCTTGTGAATCAACAATCTGCTCGATATATTATATTATGGTACTTATGAGTTATAACTTAATTTTTTTTTCTCATCGATCATTCAGACTCGTAGAGATCCGTGTATCGATTTTCCCATCAATTAAGTATAGAATTGAGCATCGTACAGGCTTCGTGCACGTGAAATTATCGAAATTTGTTGTTATCACCTCGTGCCAAATACCTTGGCTGAAACGTTGAAACAACGACGCGTGGATGGGGAAAAAAAAAAAAAAAATACGCAATTATACTCCGTGACTCTGAAACAGATCAGATCCGTTGATTGAATCAAATTATCACACGAGCGCCTAATGAGACCATAAAAACCTTGGTGGCGCACCATTGCGGGCCTAGGGGGTGAAGAGAACAATGCGCTCGCATCGGAACAACGGCATGTGGAAAAGAAACGAGTGAAAGAACCCGTGTAACCCACCTGCAATTTACTAAGTACGACACATTATTATATATTATATCACACAAGAGTTTATACGTTATATACGTGTACGACGTGAAATGGCACTCTCGATTCCTTTGGTATTTACGAAATTTTACGCATTTACATCATGTACATAGACGCACAAGCGTACATGTATACATTATGAACGGAGGTAAGTGTATGTTTTCCCATGGTCTTTTATACACATCGCGACAGCTACATTCCAGTGTATATACGGAACTGTAGCCTAAAAGGAGAATATAATATAGTGCTGTTGCCGATTCCGAGATCTTAGCTAACCGGCACTAGATTTCAGAAAAAGAAAAAAGGAAAAAAATTTCTAGTTTACGCGTACAGGAAGGAAAATACAGTTCCTGTTGCAAAAGAGTTGCTCCTTGTGATACACTTCCGGAAAACCCGCCAGCACAAATAATTAATACAGATGTGTCTTTTGTTGCTTGTTGTGAGATTTTTAGTGTATTTGTTATTTTTAATTGGGCTTGAATGACATATTTGAATCCATCAGTAATATGAGGTAACTAATATGGCACTTTCATGCCTTTTCGGTACAAAGTGAGAGTAGAGTAAAAAAAAAGGGACGTTCCCCATTGCCCGCTTCGAGTACTTTTTCTCTTCGCAAGGATGGCAGAGTGTCTTCGCTGAAGTTTTCATTCCAGAATTTTAGAGGAAGTACAGGTAAGTAGGGTTTTGAAAGAACTGACGCTTGGCAACTCGCGCATACCAAGGTAACACCTTAAGCTTTTTTTTCTCGTGACGCGTTTCTATATGGCTATGAGTTTCCAACTCGCTCTCTTTCTCTCCCTCCGCCGAACCGGCAACATCTGTCCTCCCGTTGCATCTGCGTGCGTCCCCATCGCAGCCCCGACCCATCAGCTGTGCATGGCAACGGCACAATAACGGCCCTCTTGCGCTCCGGCGTGTGCCCCCATTTTTCCTGATGCTCCCCGTACACGATAATCGGGATGTATATCCCCGCGCGTCGCGTGAAAAATCGCCTTCTTCTCTCGATCTCGTTGACGTTCGCTTTGTGTTGCAGAGGCGCTGGAGTAACGGGATCGGCATTTTTTAATAGCTATACGCACGAGCCTACGCACGTTGGGTGCATTTTCATATCACCGAGAGGGAGAAAGAAAAAACATTTCTCATATATATACATATTTCCTAAAGATTTTCTCATTTAATATGAATATAATATGTAGTGAGAAAATATAGTTTATATTGCAACTATGCGGGTAAATATTTTTTCTCTCGGTGTATATTGTGTTATATTGACAGACCAAGTGCAGTGCACACGAGAAATCATGAACAGATTAATTACAGGTAATTTGGGGAAGTTTTGCCAAAAAGGCTATATTTTGGTAAGTAAAGTTATTAGATTTATATAATGTAGCATTTAAAAGTATTTTTGTTATTTTTCATGAGATTTTTCATGGCGTTTTGGGGCCGATTGCTGTAGGGTGAAGGAAAAGATTGTTTGTATTCACAAGAGTGGCTAAGAGGCCCCCTATACCAATACAAAAAAATTTATTGATCATTTTAACAATTAGCGATCATGAAAGTACAGTTATGTGGGATAAAAATCAAAGGATCAGAGTGAACTTGATTTATATCACTTAAACGTTATCATTGACTTGTTATGAAATTTTCAGTTTGTCCGATTCATGAGTTTTGAATAAATAATCAATTTTGAAATTTAACGGGCTTTGTCATCAAGGTGGACGGAATAAATGAGATTTTCCATCTTGGACGAAAAAATTTGGATACTTCCACCAACATAAAATCTTTAGAATAATGTCAAGATTAGATGAAAGATAACCGTAAACATTTATTTTCAAAAAATAACGTATATTTTCAAAGTGAGATTTGAAATCGTTGCAGCAGCATTGTGTGGTGAGCCGCAAGTACCCATTCGAACGGTCTCGATGTTTACACCAACAGAAACACAGATGTATTTAAGTGCTGAGCTAGGAAAATAATACACCGCACTGCGTACGAGTAGCCTACATTCGTATCGGAGATTTTCTTTACGCCACATGAAGTAGTTGGCGAGATGATATATACTTTATTCCACACCTCATTTTTGCCGATACTAATGTTGGAAAATAGGTTGTTTTTTTTTCACTACGAAGGTTATAGTTTATTTGAATATTACTTAAAATTTTATCTGAAAAATAAAAGCTACAGGGTTATACAAACGGCAAATGTGGTTAACTCTATGTAAACTATTTTTAATTAAGTAAAAAAAAGGATTAATAATTTATAAAATCGGTTACGATTAGAGGAGGGATAGCAATAAAAATAACATCAAGTAGTATGGCCAATGTAAAACGAATTACGCATTCACGAGGAAGCGTATGTACTATATGCACAAAGATGCACGACATCGTGAACGCAGTTATCCGTTACTGAGACAAATGGCCATCATCGCTCTTTTGAAAAATCGGAGGGTAGGGAGGGATAGAGAGGGAGAGCGTGAACTTGATGTAAATTGAAAGAGGAATGTGCGAAGGAGAAAAAAAAAAAAAAAAAAAAGTACCTCCACGCACGCATCAACAGTACAGAGTACAGTCATATTAGTCGAGTTCCAGCTATCGGCTTATCCCTCCGCGCTCGTGCACCAAGAATTTCTCATGAATTCCTCTTTTTCTTCTTCTACTTATCATTTTTTATCTCTTTCTGCGCGTGTAACTCCTACCTACATGCAAATGCCACCTTTTTACCCTCAAGTCTTGAAACGCGTCTTTCACACGATTGTTTCGTTTTTTTTGAATTCCTAATGAGTAAAAACTTGATCGAAAACCAAATTGTAAAAACCAGCGTAGAGACATTTTTTTTCGATTCCCACCTTCGAAAGTAAAAAAGAGCGAACGCGGTATACGCAATCCTCACACACCCGCGCAGAGAGAGAAAGTCCTTCAAATCCTAGATACAAACAAGTGAAGGATATACTCAACGAAACGAAAAAAAAGGAGTTACAGTCGAAAAAATCGTAAGATACGAGATCTCATCTTTTCTGTGAGTACTTACCCAATAAATTCTTT